TGTCTCACCTGCCTGTCTCTCACCTGCCTGTCTCTCTCACCTGTATGTCTCACCTTCCTGTCTCTCACGTGTGTGTCTCACCTTCCTGTCTCTCACATGTATGTCTCACCTGCCTGTCTCTCACCTGTATCTCTCACCTGCCTGTCTCTCACCTGTCTGTCTCACCTGCCTGTCTCTCACCTTCCTGTCTCTCACCTGTCTCTCACCTGTCTGTCTCACCTGCCTGTCTCTCACCTGCCTCTCTCTCACCTGTCTGTCTCACCTACTTGTCTCTCACCTTCCTGTCTCTCACCTGTCTGTCTCACCTTCCTGTCTCTCACCTGTATGTCTCACCTGCCTGTCTCACCTGCCTGTCTCTTACCTTCCTGTCTCTCACCTGCCTGTCTCTCACCTTCCTGTCTCTCACCTGTATGTCTCACCTGCCTGTCTCACCTTCCTGTCTCTCACCTGTATGTCTCACCTGCCTGTCTCACCTGCCTGTCTCTCACCTGTCTGTCTCTCTGTGTGTTGCAGTAGTTCCAGTACCAGTTTGATCGCCATCGACAACAAAATCGAGCAGGCCATGGTGAGTCCTGTTTCTACGTTTCTAGTCTTCTATCAGGCGTCGATCTATAAACCTTTGTATCTGTTGCTGGTAGATTGTGTCATGAAGACATCAAGTTGTCTGTTGTTTTTCTAGTTGTATATTTACTCTTTGCAGTGAGAGAGAGTTTGTCTGTGACTCTGTTCCTGTGTAGATATTTCAGTTCTGTAGTTATTTGATTTCACCTTGATTTAAACGAGGATGACCTGACTCCTGAGGTTAAGGATCTGTTGTGTGAGAGGGTCCTGACTGAGAGACAGTCAGCAGTGGTTAAACACCAGCTGTAAAGGTTTCTGAGCCAACTCTGATGGTGGTCCTGGCTCAGTTTGTCCTCAATCTGAGGTTGAAGCAGTTTGTATCTGATCCCATTCATGTAGAGCTGTGTTCAGATCTGTCCCTGCTGCTGACGACCATAAATGTGACACCGTTCTGTGGTTACAAACGTCTCTCAGTGAGGACATATGAGCAGGAGTTCTCCTCTATGCTGATGATGCTGCTGACGGGCTTTATGATTGGCTAGTTTATTTATGCACATCACGTGTGTGTGTGTGTGTAGGACCTGGTGAAGAGTCACCTGATGCTGGCGGTGAGGGAGGAGGTGGAGCTTCTGAGAGAACAAATCAGAGAGCTGCAGGAGAGGAACCGGCAACTGGAGAGAGAGAACCACACGCTGAGGGCGCTGACCCACAGCATGCACACTCAATAACACACACACACACACACTAACACACACACACACTAACACACACACACGTGCCGTCATGTCAGGGTTAACAGGACGGCGTTCCGGCTCCTGCGTTTTCTGATCAGCTGATGCTTCAGAGACACTCGCTGTGCCCTCCTGCTCGTCCTCCTTCATGTACCTGTAGTACTGTTGAACTGCAGTATTTGTGGTACTGTGTACTGATGAAAGGTGTGTGTTTCTGTGTGTGTGTGTGTGTGTGTGTGTGTGCAAGTACTTACAGCATCTGACAAAAGTGAGCACACCCTGACATTTCTGTAAATGTTGTGTTAGCTCCTTCATGGGACAACGTTGTAGGTAACAAAAGAGAGAAGACCCGAGGTGAAAATGTCCAAACTGTGCCCAAAGGGTCAGTAGTATGTTTGGCCACCATTATTTTCCAACACTGCCTCAACTCTGTTGGTCATGGAGTTCACTGGAGCTCCACAGAGGGCCGCTGAATCCTCTCCCACTCCGCCACGATGACATCATGGAGCTGGTGGATGCACCTTGCACTCCTCCACCTTCCATTTGAGGGTTTGGAGACATGGTTGGTCTGAGCACTGACAGGCTGACCCTCCACGCCTCCAACCTCTGCACCAATGCTGGCAGCACTCATACCTGTTTTCAAAGACAACCTCTGGATATGACACTGAGCACGTGCACTCGGCTTCTTCTGTCGACCACGGCGAGCTTTGTTCTGAGTGGAACCTGTCCTGTTAAACTGCTGGATGGTCTCGACCACCGTGCTGCAGCTCAGTTTCAGAGTGTTGGCGAGTCACGTGACACCAGGGAGGGAAAATGGCTAATCGGGCTCAGTTTGGACATCTTCACCTATGGCTGTACTCACTTTTGTTTCCCAGGGATTCCGTCAGTAATGGCTGTGGGTGGAGTTATTTAGAGGTGACACCAAATGTGCTGTTGTACAAGCTGCTTACTTTACATTGTATCAACGTGTCAGATTGACAGTGTGTCCTGTGAAAAGATGTAACGAAATATCTCCAAAAATGTGAGGCTGTGCTCACCTCTGTGAGATACTGTGTGT